CCCTCCTTCCCGCCGGTTGCCCCCACACGTTGCCCTGAGTTTGGGGACGAAGAGAGGGGAGGGGGGAAACCCCTGTGTGCTGAGGAAAGAAACTTCGGCGAGGTGCGAGGAGAGGCTCAATGTCGTTTTCCCCTTCCCCCTCCCGGCAGGGATCTACGAATGCAAAGAGAAAAGGGAAGATGTGAAGTCAGAAGATGAAGATGGACAGACCAAGCTCAAACAAAGGAGAAGCAGAACCAATTTCACACTAGAACAGCTGAATGAGCTGGAAAGACTTTTTGATGAGACTCACTATCCGGATGCCTTCATGAGGGAGGAACTAAGCCAGAGGCTGGGACTGTCTGAAGCTAGGGTTCAGGTAAGAGAAAGGCTCTGTTCCTGGAAAGGTCCTCACCTCACTTCCTAACTGCCAGCGGATCCTAGTACAGTGCTCCGCTTCATCCAAGGCGGGAGTCGACACGTGTGATGGGGAAACTGTTTGCAACTCCGCTGTACCTGTCCTGCCAAACAGTAATTCTGCTCTGGGAGTATCTGACCGTGCCTTGCATTTCCTAGGAAGGTGGTTTAATTTTTTTCAAATTTTATTTTTTTATTTTTTGGTGGGATGGGGGGTTGTGTGGTGATAGTGTTGACAAGTCTCTAATAACTGAGCAACTAGCTTTTTTTTTTTAATATTGTATTTTTCCTTGCAAACGAGCCATTAACTCTCTCCCAGTCCTCACGTTCTTCTCTTTCTTCTTTTATGGGGTCGTTATGGAAAAAAATAAAAGTCAATAAAACAATCGCCATGAATAAGGCTAGACGGTTTGGGTGCTGAGGGACGGGATTAGCCAGAGCCGGGGGAAAGGTGCCCACTCTGATTCGCGCTGCAAGCGTATGAATGCATGGCACCCCATCTGGTGGAGTCTCCCCCCACCCTGCTTCAGATACAGCTAGATACCAATTAGCCTTCGAAATCTTGAAAATAGGTCCTGGTTGCTGTAGTTCTGGGGCCATCAGAGGCGTCTGTTTGGGTGGCTTCACATCGATTATTTAAAAATTTGATTGTCGGTTTGGTGCAGAGGAAAAATACACCCCCCTCGCCTTAAGCCAACTAGGGAATGCGTCCCCAAAGCAGATGTCGCGTAAAAAAAACCCCACCTAGAAATAATTAATGAGAGCAACCTGTGGCTCTCTGAGCATGCCTAGAGCAGGAGAAATCTGAAATAAATTGCTTCTTGGGTTGGAACTCTGTGCTTGGCCTAGCGGACCCAAAACAACCCCAAACCCAAGAAGACAGTCACCAAGCCAACCCCTCCACTGAACAAAACGCCTTCACACCCTGGAGAAGAGAGGTGCACATGCATATGTATATCCAGCTTTAGGTGTGCGCGCGTGGATACACATAGATGGACACCTCCGTGCCTGCCCCTATCCCCGGGCACGGCGGAAAGACACGAAATACAGCACCGAGCTGGAGCGGGGAGAGGGGTCGGCTTGACCCCCACCTCAAACACGACTCACTGCAGAGAGCAAGCGGGCAGACCCTGCTCCTCCCGCACCCGCTCAGCCAGCCTTGGCCTGGGCAAGCGGCTCTCCCACTTTAAATTGCCTCCTGGAGGCATTTCCCGAAATAAATAGAGGAGCTGGTTGTTTTATTTCATTTTCTCTTTCTTTCTTTCCCTCTGAAGTCTCTTCTCTTCCCTCAGCTCCTGCCTCTCTCAGTATAAATGGAGCTGGGCGAGGGATGGTGCTGGGCACATGCCTTAGGAAGGGCAGCTTGCAGGGGATATTGCAGGGGTTCAGAGTGCTGCTGGCCTACTTTCTCCTGGAAGATTGATCTAACCACACCATATAAATTAATGAAAAGATTAAACTTTTGCTGAAGGGGACATCAACTCTTATGTCATCTTCCCAGATCTTCTTACTTGGGCTCTGTAATATCTTTCCAAGGCCTTGATGTACTGTTTCTATAAAAATAAATTACTTGTAATTGAATTCTGCACTCTTTCTTTCAAGTACTTTATTACTGAGCAGCACCTTAACAGGATGTTCATAGTTACAGGAAAATTGGTGCTTCAAGTGCTTACAGATCTTAAAACAGCACACCAAAAAAAGGAAAAAAAAAAAAAAAAGATACTGATTCAGGCAGATATTGTAAAGGAGATTTAAAAAATAATAAATTTAATCATGTTACAAAAGATGTTTGCATGGATGAAAATAAAACTATAAATGAAAGAAATATCAAGAGGGAAAAGGGGAGCACTTGATAATTAATTAGGAAATAAGCAGAGGGTTGGATGTCCATCAGTAAATGGAAGCGGAAAAAAAGAAGGAGAAGGGGGGAAAAAGGAAATGCTTTTTTTTAATGCTTTCAGAATTGTTCTCTAATTCCTATCTGAACCGCTTGTCCCTTGCTGTTAAAGGATATAGTTTCAATTTAGTGTGGAAATTTGCTGTAAATAAATTGAAGCTCCTATGGTAGCTAGTCCTTATTAACCTTTTATTTTTAGTGTTGTACTGGAAACTCATATCACCCAGCTGTCAGGGTTATAATTGAAAGTTATGAGACCATAGTGAGGAGCAGGCAGTAATTCAATTACAACAAATATCTTTGGGTTTATGGTGCAGGGCTAAATTAAATGTCATTATTCACTGTCTCTAATGGAAATCAAAAGGAAATCAGATTAGAGCATTTGTGAAAGAAATCACTGAGTGATCCTTAATGAAGAAATAACTGTCTAAAACAGTGTACTGTGCTTTACTTAGCATATTCATGACTAATTGGAATTGATCGTGAATCACACCAAGCCTGATTTATTATCGCTTAACGCAGTGGCTAATTCATCACTTTTATTCCTCATAACCTTATTTTTTCATAGCTAAAGGGAAAGGGCACTTCGTTTTCCAGATTTAAATATAATTTCTGTTTGAAAGATGTTCTGATTTGCAAGAGAAGTTGTTTAAACGCTGCTTAAATTCCTCCTGACAATTTATACTCCTTGGGACGGGGGGGTGGAGGGGCGTGGGGAGCACACACAAGGAGATTTCCTGCAACGATTTACAACCGTAAAAAAAAAAAAAAGAAAAAAAAAAAAAGCGTTATTGTCGCTACAGCACGATGATATTTTGCATGCTCATATTTTAAAAATATATCAGTCCCTAACGGCCGGGTTAAAAGGAGAAGCGTCGCATGTTGTTACTATGTGCCTATTGCTCGTAGGGAGAAACAGGCTTGTGCCGTGCTCGGCGTTTCAGGGCAGCGAGGCAGCAGCGGTATCCGGTTAGCGCGGGGAGGGCTGCGCTAGCGGCAAGCCGGTGGGGAGCGGAGCAGAGCGGAGAGGAGCGGAGCGGGGCACGGGCGGTCCATCTCTAGGGCGGTCGGTCCGCACCCGCAGTGCCCCGCTGCGCGTTTCTTCCCGGCCACCCCAGGCAGGAAAAATGGTGCTCCGAATCAGAGAAGGCCAATTCCTACTTAAGAAAATCACTGAGGTACCCGAGGTAATTAATGCCTTTGGAAGCCTTTCTTTGCACTAATTACTCCGTTGTAAATGACCATCATTAAGGCAATTGAAGAAAGCTTGAAGGGAAAATTTGATGTAGGAAGTGCAGTTAGTATTAATTAACCGTATGATCTCTCGGCAAGTGCAAGAACATCAAAGGTTGTAGGTGTTTACTTAGCTACAAGACTTTATCAGCGGTGAAAGTCAATGTTTGTCCATATTCGGTAGTTTTTGGTGTCAGGGTAAGGGTCCGCAAAGCATTTTGGTCCGTGCCTTTGACGGTCCTTTGGGGACAGCTGCTGAGCCGGGCACCTTGGAAGGGGGAAAGGAACGAAGGTTTGAAATGCCCCTGGGCAAGACGTAGGGCAGGCGTAGCGACTACTCCAAATTCTGCGTTTGTTTGAGTTGGAACGGCTGGGATTAGGGCAGGATTATTGGATTACAGACATTTCTCGGGTAGGGGCATAAACCCTTCTTTACGTCCCAGCCTGGAAAGACGTTGCTCTTGCCTGTCCAGAAGTCTATATTAGCTGGTCTTGTTTTCTTTTAACCTTTGGGGAACAGGGAATGATGCAGTCCCTTTTGTGCAAATTCAGTATCTCGCATCTTCCCTGAGGTTTCCATCATTTCCAAATCCAGCTCGGGAGAGGGCAGAGGACCCTGTCGCTTAGCGGCCAGACCCCGGAGCCTGACCGGGCCCACACCAGTTGTCCCCGGGATGTTGAGGTGTGACTGGAAAGGGAGAGAGGGTCCCACCCGGCCTGCGTGTGGGCTTACTTTAAGTGTCAGTGGGAGCGGTTCCTCGCTCTAGAAAGGTGGCACAAGGACCGAGGGACTGACACTGCCCGCCCGAGGGACACAGGGACCTTGAAGACTCGGTGCGAGGCGGCGGCTCCCGGGCTGCTGGGTCTCCTGGGCTGCGAGGGCGCTTCTGATCTCCTAGGTTCAGTTCCCGCTGAGAAACCACACCAAACAGCAGGACCCCCAGAACAGCCCTTCCGCAACACAGAGGGGCTCACTCCGCTCGGGGCTGAGCTCTCCCCTCGGCTGCTCCCGAGGAGAGACCTCAGCAAAGTTGTGCGGTCCCTAGCCCCTGAGATAATCCTCTCTTAGCAGAGTTGCCTAGTCTACCTCAATTTTTGTTTGCGTTTTATTTTCACAGGTCTGGTTCCAGAACAGAAGAGCAAAGTGCCGAAAGCAGGAAAACCAGATGCACAAAGGTGGGCGAGGGG